TTTGATGTGACAGTCTGCTGTCACTTGCAGCTGCTTTAACCAGCTATATGTTGACTTTCTCGTTCTTTAAAGCCTTCATGAAGTTCATCTATAGACTTCTAACCAAAGTGCAGTCAGGCTGAGGGTTTTAGAAAATAATTATGGTTTAGAATTTCCATCAGGTTGAGTGTTTGCTTCTGCCAGCAAAAGCTGGAGCCCATTGCCCTTGAGACTGATTATCTTCTGGGAAGTGGGTTGCAGGAGCAGACCTGCACCTCCCTGGTGTGGACACGCAGGACCTGTTCTTCTGTCTGTAAGGCAGGGCTTGCTCTGAGCCAGTGCTGGTTGCCTTTCTCCTCTGCTGCCTAAATAGCTCATCCTCCTTAGAAACATTGGGAGGGCACCAGGCAGCATCTCTGGCTGTCCTTTCTGTGCTCTCTCCATACCTACCACACAGCGTGTTTGGCGTAGCTCACCGTCCCCTGCACAGTCAAGTGAGTGTTGCCCATTAAATAGACTCCAGATAATTCTTGGATTAAATTACATTTTTTATAAAAATAAATTGGCTCTTCTCATATTAACATCTTGTTTTAATAATTGCTGTTCCACATCCTTACATTCCAATTTTGAAATGCTTGAAAAGCAATTTGCTGCTTATAGATTTCTGATGAGGCAGATGGTTACATATGCTGATCACACCTACTGACACAGATAGACAAAATACCAAAGCATGAGGAATCCCATGTAGAGGTCCCAAATAGCATGAAAACTTTTGTTCAAAAGTTGCAGCATCTTAGAGAAACAAAAAAACCCCTCTGATTCCACCCCCTCAAATCAACCAAACCCAAATGTGTCTGGCAGTCTTTCTCTTCTCCTTGAGTCCCCAAGTACTGCCAGTTCCCTGGTAGCTGTTGGAGAAGGAGATAACTTCGTTTTTCTTGCAGTAAAGACTTAACGTTTAGCAATTGTCCCGTTTTTTCTTCTCTTTGAAAGACTGTCAGATTTTTTGAATGTACTAACTAGCAGATCTATCTCCAGATCTATCTCTGTTTAATTACAGGTGCTTGAAGTATTTTACTGGCATTGAGTAGAAATACTTACATTAAAAACTTAACACTTGGGTTGCAGTTTTGTATCATGCAGGCTTGCTGTGGAGAAGAGCCAGCACAGGACAGCAGTGACCATCAAAGAAACAATATTAGAAACTCAGGCAGTTACTGATGCATAAAAAGAAGCAAAGATAGGAGAAAGAGATTCAATTCTGTAGAAGGAGGTAC